GGGGGGGGAAAGAAAAAAGACTCTAAAAAACCAAAATTGGGATCAGAATGGCATAAGACCTTTCTGTTTTTCTTTTTTTTTCTCAAGTAGGCTCCATGCCGAACATGGGGCTTGAACTCACGACCCTGAGATCAAGAGTTGCATGAAGCACCCTGCATAAGATTTCTTAATAGATTTTCAAAGACAATGGAGCAATGCCTTTACAACTGAAAGGAAAAAAATGATTTCCATAATCAAATTCTAAACTCTTTCAAACCAAAAATTAAGTGTGAAGTTAGAATGTAGATATTTTCAGACATTTACTTCTCATCTATCCTTCTTAGACAGTAATAAAAATGTGTTCTAACAAAAAGAGGGAATAAAGTAAGAAGAGGATGTAGGATCTAGGAAACAAGAGATCCAAAGAGGAAAAAAAAAAAAAAAGAGCAAAAGGAAGACCCAGGAGAGGTTTGTTCAAGTGACCTAAAATTAATCAGACCAGAAGACGATGGAGGATTCTGGGAGTGAAATCTCCAAGTCAGGAAAGCGGGCGGGGGAGAGACTAAAATCTGCAGATTATTTTTCCATTTGGAAAACAATGTTGATAAAGTGTACACCAGAGGTGATAGCAGAAGTCGAATAAAAAAGGCACAAAATAAAACTAAATAAAAATGAGTCAATTATCAACTTTGTAAGTAGTACAAAACAGGACTTGGTTCAGTGGTGAACAATATTTACTTGGTCAGAATAATGTAAATACTGATTTCTGAGTTATCTAAAAGTTGTGACAAAACTATATTGGAAAAATGAGGGAAAGGGAAGCATGTATGGATGTGAGTGGTTTAACAAAATTCTGTCAACAGACAGAAATCAAAGAATATCTGTTTCAGTATATTACTTAAAAATATGGAGGAATATTATAGAAACAACTAAAACTGTTGAAAGTGATTGCCTGTGAACAACAAACGAAGCCTTTTTCACCAAGCAAAAGCAGCAGCAGCTGCTAGGTAGAAAGTGCTAGGCATTCTCCTAAGTGATTTGTACAAGTTATTCCAGGGAACCCTCACAATAACCCTGTGGGTAAATAATACCATACCCTGCCAACACAAGAGGAAACTGAGTCAAAAAGCGTACGTGACTTGTCCACAGCTACAGAACTGGTAAGTGGCAGAGCCAACATTCAAATTCAGATTTGTCTGCCTCTAAAGAGCCAATATTCTGTATTAGCTCTCAGGGACACAGATTCTGGGGTTCCCAACCCCACCTTACCTCCTCCACATCTTCATCCAATTGCTCATTAGGATCCACTTCTCTGACTAAGTCTTGTAATTTCTTCTTGGTCAATACCTAAAGTTAATTGGGAGAAGATTTTTTCAGTAAGTATTAAGGGAGAAAAACCCCTTATTACCCTGTAATGAAGAAAGGCTGTCACTGTGTTGGGTTTAGTTTCTACTTTCCAAAAGTCAGCAGTCTGGCCTACAAGACTTGTATTCTACAAAACTGTACTCTCAAGACAGAAGTAGCCCAGGGAAAGGCCACAAGAGCAGTGTGGCCGAGAGGCCAACATCTGTCAGTTTATTTCTGCTTCATCTCTTGCTCACTATGCCTTACCTTCCCTCTACATTAAATAATTCGCAATTTTCTGACCATCACAACTTGTATGTGCCTCTGTTGCTTTTGGACGTGCTCTTCTACCCTTCTTCCTATCTGCTCAGTCTATGGTGCCTTCTTTCTGCTTTTCCTAGCCCACCCAGGTAAAAGGAACCACTTCCTCCTTTGGCCTCTACTAGACTCTGTGCACCCTTCTATCATTGTATGTAGTTGTAAACTTGCCTGTTTCTTTCTTTCTTTCTTTTTAATGTTTGTTTATTTTTGACAGAGACAGAGTGTGAGCAGGGAAGGGGCAGAGAGAGAGAGGGAGACACAGAATCCAAAGCAGGCCCAGGTTCTGAGCTGTCAGCACAGAGCCCAACACGGGGCTCAAACTCATGGACCCCAAGATCATGACCTGAGCCAAAGTCGGCTGCTCAACCGACTGAGCCACCCAGGCACCCCATAAACTTGCCTGTTTCAGACTCAGTAGGCTGAAAGCTCCCTGAGGGGAGGGACCATGTGTTCATCTCCATATAATATTTGTATAAGTGCGTACAACTGTGATCCCTTTTTCAGAGAGGAAATGTCATGTTACATACATATACCATTAAACAATAATCAAAAGACATACATTAAAATGCTAACCATAAACTGAGAATAAACTGAGGGTTGATGGGGAGTGGGAGGGAGGGGAAAGTGGTGATGGGCATCTAGGAGGGCACCTGTTGGGATGAGCACTGGGTGTTGTATGGAAACCAATATGACAATAAACTTCATATTAAAAAAAATGTTAACCATAGTTATTTTGGGGTGATGGTAAAATTATGGGCTATTTATTCTTGTATTTCTAAAGTTTCTGTGATAAGCATGTATAATCTTGGAAATAAAGAAAAAAGAAATTTTTAAAATACATATTTGTTCATGATTTCTCAGATCTATCCATTCTCCATTCTAACATTACCACTACATCAAGCCTTTACTGCACATCTTGATTTACTACAGAAGTCTTAGACCTGGTCTTCCTCTCAGTCTGCCCCCTTTCCTACCTTTCTTATCCACTTACTACCAAGTTAATCCTCCTATGATATACTACTTTTATTATGTTACTTACTCTTCTATTAAATATTTGCAAAGATTGTCTAATGACTAAAAGTTCCAAAGGAAACTGACTAGTATATGCTCAGTTTATTCTGCCATAATCCAGCCTAAACTGTCTTACCTCCTGCTCTTCTCCAACAGACTACACATTCAACACAAGCTGGCTTCCCAACTATCTGCCCAACCTTCCCCATTCACCTTTACTGGTCCCTCCCCCTATTTTCTTGAAATGTCTCTCCCTCCTATTCCAGCCTACAAGGTTCAAGTTAAGAGATAATACTTATTTCTTATCTCTTGTGGGTCTGCAGAGCAGAATCAGAATCATGGCCAGAAAGTAGGGGGCAGATTTTAGAAGTACTGCAGAAAATTAATGGCAGCAGCTGAATGAACTAGAAGGAGAAAAGACTGGAGGCAATGGTACTTAATTACAGGAATAATGAATAATGAATGCATTAGTTATTTTATTTAGCTATTTTATTTACCAATTATAAAGCATATATATATTTATACATAAAAATATAAAAACCTATCATAGGCAACATGTTGTGTTAGTGTGTGTATATGGATGTATGTAAATATACATCACACACATAAACACTATAAACACTGATAAACATTGTACATGATAATTTCATAAAGAACTTCAGAAGTCCAAAGGACAGGGGCGTCTGGGTGGCTCAGATGGTTAAGTGTCTGACTCTTGGTTTTGGCTCAGGTCATGATCTCACGGTTCGTGAGTTCAAGCCTAAGCCTGTTTGGGATTCTTGCTCTCTCTCTCTGCCCCTCCTCTGCTCTCTCACTCTCTCTCAAAATAAGCTAAAGATAAATAAATAAATAAATAAATAAATAAATAAATAGTAAAACTCTTTAAATTTCTTTTAAATTTAAATTTTATTTTTCAGAGAGAGAGTGTGAGCAAGGGAGGCGCAGACAGAGAGGGAGACAGAGGACCCAAAGTGGGCTCTGTGCTGACAGCAGCTATCCCGACGCAGGGCTCTGATGAATGGCAAGATCACGACCTGAGCCAAATTTGGATGCTCAACCCACTGAGATACCCAGGCACCCCCTAACAAACCTATTTAAAAAAAATAGGGCGACTGGGTGGCTCAGTGGGTTAAGCGTCCGACTTCGGCTCAGGTCATGATCTCACAGCTTGTGAGTTTGAGTCCCATGTCGGGCTCTGTGCTGACAGTTCAGAGCCTGGAGCCTGCTTCACATTCTGTGTCTCCCTCTCTCTCTCTCTGCCCCTTCCCTGCTCACACACACTCTCTCTCTCTCAACAATAAATAAACAACAACAACAAAATTAGAAAATAAAAAAAATAAAGAAGTCCAAAGGAGGGAAAAGACCTTTTCCAGCTAAAAGGAAGAAGCAGCATCTGAGATAGACAGACATCTCCCAAAGCATTATTGGTTCAAATAACAGATAAGAGGTACCTGTAAAGAACCAAAAATAAGAAACGATACCTGATTATTTTCAGGGCTGAGACGCCCTCCAGTCCCAGGAGTGCCTGGTATCTTTACCACTGTAGTGCTATTGGCCATGGAGCCTTGTGGAGGAGTGCTGGCTGGTTCCGGTTTTATGGATGAGAAATTGGAAAGGTTGATTAGGGCTGAGGGGCCAAACTGGTTCATAATCTGCCGAGCTTTGGACTTTAGCTCATAGAGCTTATCAAGATCCTGTTTCTTTTTGGAGCTGTGAGGACCAAGGCCAATCAACTGTAGAAGGAAAACAAGAGAATTAACTCCAGAAACATCTTTAATAAAGGGTAAGTTTTGAAAGTAAACTTATATAAAGTCTCTTGGACTTGAAGGGTCTTTAGGATTTCTGGGATAGTGACCATGTGATACCTGCACATTAAAAATGGACGGAATGAGGAATGTTCATTGCTCTCACCTCATATTTAGAAACTATCTTTTCTCTAAAATCTAAATGAAATAGTCCACAAAATTAAATAAGTAAATGAAATGAGAAATCTTATACAAAAATAAACTAGAATGAGTAAGACATTTTTGAAGACTTCATAAAAATAGAATACTTGGTTAAGTACTAAATGTGTTATTTTTCAACAGCAAATAATGTTAAATTCAAATAAATCATGGCACAATCACATACTTAAAACCAGTCACAAAACTTCAGAAAACAGATTAGTTCATTTTGGCACTTCAAAACATGCTTAAATCTATGTCAGGGCTATGTCTAATCAACACGATTTTTAGCAACTGTTAAAAATAAGCTGTTCTTTGTCATCAAGAGCAAATTTTCTCTGAGTGTTAGCAATCTTTAAGTACATGCAGAGTCCCTAGCCTGGAGTAGCCAAGACTCCTAAATTTTAAAGCCATGAGGTAGACTCTGTGGACAGCAGCTTTGGTGTCATCAAGATCAGAAGCACATTTACCAAATTCTGTCAACAGCAGCCTCAACGAGCTTACTTACAGCTATCTGAGTGTCTAGATCTTTAATTACATCAGCAACAGCTGTGAGCCCGGTGAACTGAGAGGCAGCCATTTTCAAAAGCTACCTGTAAATGAACAACTGGCATCAAGCACCACTCTTGCCACAGAACCATTTCAGTTGCATGGCTGGCACATCTTCATGGGCCAGAATCCAAGCAAACTGGATGTGGAGAAACGCATCCATATTCCTGTCTCCTTATTCTTACTCATTACCAAGAGAAATATCTCCATCTCTTTCATACGCAGCTTTTAAAATTAATGAAGATTATAGTAATATAAATTCTCTTCTAATGAAACGGATGTTCTAGCGTTAGGGATAAACTAGCAGCATATGGAAACTTCATTGGCCAAATTGTGAAACTTGAACTTGCAGGAATCATGGCAGTGGTTATCAGAACGTGGTGAAGCTTAGCAACCTAAATGAGCATCTATACGTGTGAACTCTTGCCCCAGTTGCTGAGTTCCTCCCCAACAAACCGTCTAACTTTCTAACATGAGAAATCACCTTTCCTGGTTTACCCTTAAGAACAGCAACTAACTATGCACTGGTTAAATGATCAAGAGAAACTTGGCCAAGAGTCAGCTGAGGGGGACAGCAGAGCATCAAGATCACTGGTTTGTTTTTTAACCGTATGCACTCCTTCTCCCTTACCCACAAATGGTACCAACAGAAGAATCAGGAGAGGGAAAGACTGAGAATGTGGTTAATAGTTGTTCTTTAATGTTATAAAAACAAACTATTTACCCACAGCAAGTTTTATGAAAGAGACTTATTAAAGATTATCAGTATGTTCACCACACTGAACATATTATACCCTTCAAATAACATTCCCATAACCTTCAAGGGACTTCCCAAAGAGTACTGGGTATTGCTCAAAATAAGTAGAAGACTTTTTTTGTAATAGAGATTTCTGCATAATGGGAATTTCTATAATAAGACCTGTAGACAAGAACACAATCTACACAGCACCAAATATGAATAATCGTATGTCAAGTTTGGAATTAACATTAAGGAATAGCTCCAATGACTATTAATGAAATAAGTTGTTTTAATGAAATAAGGGGAATCCATACAATATAAGAAACATCAAAGTTTCTCCCTAAGAAACTAGACTGCAATTTACTGTATTGTTTTGTTGAGAAGCAAACATTACTTCTGCATTTTCAATAATTCTGTTAGGTGAGCTATTTCTTCCATTAAAACAAGACAAAACAAAGCAGATGATAACCACTCATTACCAGACTGACACTGCCCATAGTTTCCTAGACTATTCCTTTATTTGGTTGGATTTAAAACACCATATTTGGATGGGTGATGATTACATGGATTTACACAATGTCAAAGTCATCACACTGAATATTTAAGATCTGTGCATTTTATTGTATACACAAATTATACCACTATTAAGGACAGGAAACCAAATCACCCAACCCCCACCCAAATAAATAAAGGATTGCACTCTTAGGCGTTTATCCCAGAAAAATAAAAACTTGTGTTCCCACACAAACCTATATTCTCATGTTCATAGCATATATCAATAAGGAAAAGATAGATTATTGAATACATGGTGGTATATGAGTACATCTGGAAAACATCTGGTTTCGTGTTTAAAATTTAAATATTTGACCCATCTGGAATGAGGGAGGGTATATATATATTCCTCCCTTCATACACTCTTTTATTGCAGACAGATCAAATATTTAAATCTTAAATATAAAATGAATTATCTTAAATGTTAAATATAAAATACTAGAATATAGATTTAAAAAATATTCAGAAATATAACCCTCTCACTTTATTAAAAAAAACTAACCCAAAATGGATCGTATACTTTAATAATATCAAATGTACAACTATAATACTTTTAGAAAAAACAGGAGAAAATCTTTGGGCTCTAGCTAGACAAGAGTTCTTAGCTTGACACTAAATGCAATCAATAAAAGGAAATATTGATAAATTGGCCTTCATCAAATTAAAAATGTTTCCTATGTGAAAGCCTACGTAGAAAGGATGAAAAGACGAGCTACAGACGAGGAGAAAGTATTTACAAACTACATATCCAACAAAAGACTAGTATCTATAAAGTATACAGAATTCTCAAAACTCAACACGTCTTTTTTTTTTTAACTAATTCAATTACAAAATGCACAGAAGACCTGACCAGATATTTCACCAAAGTCATACAGATGGCAAATGAAGCACAAGAAAAGGTATTCAACATCACTAGTCATTAAAGAAAGGCAAATTAAAACTGCAGTAAGATGAAACTACACACCTAGAAGTATGCCTAAAATAAAAAATAGTGATAGCGCCAAATACTGACAAGGATGCAGAGAAAATGGATCACTAGCACATTGCAAGTGGGAATGTAAACAGGACAGCCACTCTAAAACAGTTTGCAGTTTCTTAAAAAATCTAAGGATATACTGTCACAGAGAAGCCTAAAGAGACATGAAGACAAATGGAAAAACTAAGATCTGAATAAATGATGGACTTCAGTTAATAATACTGTATTAATATTGGCTCATTAGTTTTAACAAATGCACCATACTAATGTAAGATATTGCTATGGAGAAACTGGGTGTATGGAAACCCTATTACCTTCCCAATTTTTCTGTAAATCTTAACTGTTCTAAATTTTTTCTTAACGTTTATTCATTTTTGAGAGACAGAGCACAAGTGGGGGAGGAGCACAGAGAAAAAAGGAGACACAGGATCCGAAGCAGGTTCCAGGCTCTGAGCTGTCAGCACAGAGCCTGACGCGGGCTCGAACTCATGAACCACGAGATTATGACCTGAGCCAAAGTCGGATGCTTACCCCACTGAGCCACCCAGGTGCCCCTAAAACTGTTCTAAGAAATAGTTTATTAAAAAACTAGGGGTGCCTGGGTGGCTCAGTCGGGTGAGCATCCGACTCTATATCTCAGCTCAGGTCATGATCTCATGGTTCATGAGATGAAGCCCTGAGATGGGGTCTGTGTTGACGTTGCAAAGCCTGCTTGGGATTCTTTCAATCCCTCTCTCTGTACCCCTCTCCTGCTCTCGTGCATGCACGTGTGTATGTGTGAGTATGTGTGTGTCTTTCTCTCTCTCTCTCTCTCAAAATAAATAATCATTTAAAAAAATAAAGTAAAAAAAAAAAAAATTAGAAAAAAAAAGGGGGGGGGGGTGCCTGGCTGGCTCAGCAGGTAGAGCATGCGACTCTTAATCTCAGGGTCGGAGTTCAAGTCCTACATTGGGTGTCGAGCCTACTCTAAAAAGAAAAAAGGGGAAAAAAGAACAAACCATTAATACACAAAACAACAGGGATGAATCTCAAAAAATATTTAAGCAAAAAAAAATCCAGTCTCAAAAGAAATACTCTATGATTCCATTTATTTAATTTTTAAATTTGTATTTCATTAAAAAATTTTGTTTTCTGTTTTTATTTTTGAAGGAGAGAGAAACAGAGCATGAAAGGGGGAGGAGCAGACAGAGAGGGAGACACAGAATCTGAAGCAGGCTCCAGGCTCTGAGCTGTCAGCACAGAGCCCAACACAGGGCTAGCTAGCACTCACGAACTGTGAGATCATGACCTGAGCCGAAGTCGGACGCTCAATCGACTGAGCCACCCAGGCACCCCGTATTTGTATTTCATTTTTAAAGTTTATTCATTTTGAGGGGGGCTGCAGAGAGAATGGGAGGAGAGAGAATCTCTCAACTTGGGGCTCAATTCCATGAACCATGAGATTATGATCTGAGCCAAAATCAAGAGAGTCCAACGTTTAACTGATTGCACCACCCAGGCACCCCTGATTCCGTTTATATGAAATTCTAATCTCTAATGATCTAAAAACTAAACTCTAGCAATAGATGGGGCAGAGACTGAACAGGGGTATGGGGGACGTTTGTGAGGTAGATATAAATGCTCTATATCTTGAGGGGGGTGATGCTTACACAGCTGCATACATTTCTGAAAACCCATCAAACTAAATACTTACAATGTGCATTTTATTGTACACAAATTATACCTCAATAAAGTTGGCTCAGAAAAAAAAAAAAAAGAACTCTTAATATGCAACTATTACACGACCCAACAATTGAAGTCCTAGGCATTTATCCTAGAGAAATGAGAACTTATGTTCACACCAAAACCTTTACATGAATATTCATAGTAGCCTTATTTGTAATAGTCAAAAACTGCAATCAGCTCAGGTGTCTCTCAAAAAGTGAATGGTTAAACAAACTGGTATATCCAGATCATGGAAAATTACTTATCAAT